TTATCAACATTCTCTACATAGTAGCTTTCAAATCTATCCCCCTGTAAAGCTCAGAATCTATTTATAATATCCTAGTACTAACAGGCATGTCAAGTTTACATTTTACAGCATTTAGATGTGGAGGCTTTCTCTAAAACTCTTTAATTTTCTATTTAATCTATTATTGTTATCTCAAATGACCATTTTACAAATATTTATTTTTGATAACTAATGTTTTATTTTAAAATTTCATTTTTTATATAATGATATTTCCAATGAGGCTCCCTCCTAAAAAGCATGGCTTGGGGCGGGGAAAAGTCCAATTACTACCTCATGGCCACAAGAGGGAGCTAACATTTGGTCCACTTGGTTTACTAAAGGCATCTTCTACCATGTAGCCAGTGCTACAGAATAATTTGCATAACCATCTTCAAGTTCGTCCAATTATTCAAATATTTAATAAGCTGAATACTACATCTAAGTCAATGATGCATCAAAGCCTCTCCAAATTTTAATATTCAATTTGTAGCTGAACATGATGGCCAATGCCTAAAATCCCAGTTACTTGGGAGGCTGAGGCAGGAGGATAGCAAGTTTAAGGCCAGCCTGGGCAACTTAACAAAACCCTATCTCAAAACATAAAAAGGGCTAGAATGTAGCTCAGAGTGCTCTTGCCTGGCACACATAAATTCAATTCCCAATACATCAAATTAAAAAAAATATCAAATTGTTAACAACCAAATCAGAAAATAATACAAATTGACTTTCTTATGGAAAAAAATTCCAAAATTTATAAGTCTCCTAAAATAAAATATTTTCAAATATATTTGCATTTCAAAATTGTCAAGTTATACAATTAAAAAAAGAAAGTGAAGTGTTATATTTTACACATAATATAAAACAAATGGAGATTTTCATATGTAAAGTGAAACAGCATGCAGAATATATAAGCATAACTAATTGGTATCATAAAAAGTAAATGCCCTTATAAGGAATATATAAACAACTTTACAAGTTATCACAGAAATTTTGGTTTCAAACCTTCATAAAATAAAACATTTAAAACTACTTCTATTAGGATCTAGTAGATAGGAACTTTGTTTTTTTCTTCTAAGTCAATTCTGTTGGTGAACTTTATTCAATGTTAGTATGACAGCTTTAGTTGTTAATTCAAACAATAAACAGATAATTAATCTATGCAACACTTCAGAACAATTAAGCATATTTTAATGCTTATTATATTAGCATGTAATACTGTAAACCACTTGTAAAATTATATGAGTCAAATGGATCAAGTTTTAGTAGTTACTGATATAGTGTAAATCCAATAATTAAGATTCTAAGCTGGGTGTGGTGGTGCATGCCTGTAATCCCAGTAGTTTAGGAGGCTGAGGCAGAAAGATTGAGAATTCAAAGCCAGCCTCATTAAAGTGAGGCGCTAAGCAACTCAGTGAGACCCTGTCTCTAAATAAAATACAATAGGGCTGGGGATATGGCTCAGGGGTAGAGTGCCCCCAAGTTCAATCTCTGTACCTGCTCTGCCCCTCAAAACATTCTATTCATTTCAGGGATATTAGTTCCAAAGGGGAAAAATGTGGAAAACTATGAATAGAGGTAAAGAACACCAAGAACCTGAGCTCATTAATGCTACATATAAAAGATGATAAAAACACAAAATCAGGCCTTGTGAGCATGACAAAGAGAAGATTACCTGGAACCTCTTTTCAGCAGCAGATTTAAAAAAAAAAGGAAAAAGATTACAACACAAATTTGAATTTAAAACACTCATAAAATACATAAAGTAGTAAAGTTTTTTTTATCAATTTAATGAAGATAAACTCTTCTGATTATATGAAAGGCCTGTTGCTTCAATTTTATTACTGCATAGTAAGAAATGATTCAGTTATGACATTAATGGCAGGGAAATCAGAAGAAAGGTAAAAAAATAGAATGCAACACGTTCTATGTTATAAACTTTAAAGCTTGCCATTCTTATTTTTTTAAAATATCCTTATTTTGTTTATTTATTTTTATGTGGCACTGAGGATCAAACCCAGTGCCTCACATGTTGGAGGCAAGAGCTTTACCACTGAGACACAATCTCCAGCTCTCTTATTTTTTTTTCTTATTCAGATTGTATAATATGACTTTCAAACAAAATATTATTTTTATTCTTAAAATGGGAAATAAAGGGCTGGGATGGTGGCTCAGTGGTAGAGTGCTTGCCTAGAAGCACGCGCAAGGCCCTGGGTTCGGTCCTCAGCACGACATAAAAGGGTAAATACATAAAATAAAGATATTGTATCCAACTACTACTAAAAAATAAATATAAAAAAATGAGAATAAAATCTTAACCAACTTAAAGGGCTGGTAGCACTGGAACTTCTTTGAAAGAAACTGCCTGAGGAGCTCCTTATTTTGAGCTAAGAGTTTTCCCCAGTCAGCAAATTCACACAAAAAGAATGAATAACTCAGGACCACGCTGATTTGGGATTTTTTCTAGTAAATATTTTTTTAAACTTCCCTTAATAGTGTAACAACTGTAACAGAATTGGAAGTCATTTCATCTACCCTCTCTCTGAAATCAGGAGTCTTCTTTACACATTTAGAACATGGCTTTATAAGCACTCATGACAAATGGTCAGCTAAAGTGCATGAATCCTCCTTGTGACAGGGTGTAAGACAGCAATCATATCTCTACTTAATTTCTTGTGGGAAATAAGTGATCCGCAGATTATTCTTCATATTTAGTGGCCTCCCAACTTTCTTTCATCATGTGTTTTCTACTACACCACTGTCAACTCTCAGTGTCCCCTTCAATGCAGAGATTGATATTGATGAAGCTAGGGTAGGTATGAGGCTAGATCTGTATACTTCATTGCTGTTAAAATAATATAAGACTATGTGGGCCTCCTTAAAGGGTGTACCATACTCTGAACTCATCTTTGCACATTACTTGCTTAAAACACATAATTTCACAGATAATTAATTCATGCCATCAAATATTCAGGACTGGCTACTATTTGAGTATATGTATATTCTGATCTCAAATTTACTGTTTTCATCCTTATCTCCCAACATTTTTCTAGTATTACTTTTTTTCACTTCTAAAATTTGACTATTCATTTCTATAATGTCCCATTTCAGAAACTCTCTGAGGACATTTTCATCTCACTGAAGGAAGCTATAAAAGCACCCCCTGAGTCTGTCTTATCCAGGCCATTTTATTAAATATACAAATATACTATATTATCCTATTTTAAAGGATAGAGTAAATGTTTATTAAATGAAGATAACAGATTTATAAACTGAATAATCTCTCACTGATAAATATGTATAGCTGTTTTTTATGAGCCTCTGAAAGTTAAGGAAAATGTAAAGTTATATAGAACATTATTGTAAAACTAAATAATCATAATGAAGACCTTCATCATAATACCAACCATTTATTGTATCTAAAAATATAACTCCTTTGTTGGATTTGTCCTACTTCATTTTTTAGTTGTTTATTGACAAATGTAGTTAATTAGTTTCATAAAACACTTACCTTACTATACCCTGCCTTTGAGAGGAATTAAAGGAAAAAAGAAGGGAAACACATGAAAATTATAAGGAATAATTTTAGCAGTTTAGTAAATATAGTAAAAGTAATGTATCAATAGAAACATAAGGAAATACAAAAATGCCTAAATTTTATGTCACATTATTTTGAATGTTTTTATTAAAAATATTGGGAATTTAACCAAAATGAATTACTTTAGATAGATAAGATTTGCTACAAAAACATTTAATGAAAGAAAAAAATCAAAATTATTAAAATTACCTAGAGAAAAAAAATCTACAAAAGTATCAACCAGAGAAATTATTAGTTGTTATCAAAACAATTTCCTTTAAAGAAGATAAGGTATTTGATATGTATTTGTTTTAATCATTTAAAAATGTTTTGTTTCACATTTGATGACAATAATAGATTTTATTTAAAGTACTGAAAATTATTTACATAGACTGTATTATCTCCTTAGTAATATATTAAAAATTGGCCCAAAGAAATATGTCTTACTTTTTAATCCCCTTTGATTCTGTCATTTTGTAAGAACAACTACTCTTGTGATTACATTAATAATCTCTGTCTCATCATTTTTATGAGAATTTAGCAGAACTGACTTTGTAAAAAAAATTGAGAACAAAATGTGAAACAATTTCAAAAAGTAATCTGTAAAAAATTTAACTGCAAAAATCTTTGCTGATTACAGTTACAACAGTGTTACTCATTCTTCAGGAGCAGGAAAATAATTTCCACTAGTCAGAATGTGGGTCATTTCAGCACTGAGGAAGGAAATTTAAATTGAAGTGTTTTACCAAGAATGATGGCATACAGATTCAAATTAGGTCATATACCAAACTTCTCTAATAATTTTTTCTTTTAAAAAGATCAACAGAACATATGGAAAAGATTTATGAGAATGTCTACAGTTCTTCCTCCCTATAAAACACTTCTCACTTCTCATTACTTGGGATGTTTGGTTTTCATTAAGTAATAGTAAGCATTATTCTGCAAAATTCTACTTAAGAACATTCACATTTACATATTTATATGTATTCCTCTAATTAATAAATAAATGCATAGTGCTCATTACTTTGTGAATATTTAATTAAAAAAAAAGAAAAACAGTGTTTCAGTATTTAACTGTATCTCCTCAGGTTACTCTGTATTTCATTCCGAGGTGAGGATGCCATTGGTGAAGACCTACTATCTTAATCATTGATGTATATTATTTCATATCAACCTTGAAATAATCCATAAGTGAGGAATTATAGTGCTCATTTTGCCTCTTAGGAAACTGAGGTTCAGAAAGAATGAATGACTTTTCAAGGTTATACAACTGGTAAATGATAAAAATGAGTATGTTAGCCCAATTGTCTGGCTCCAAAATCCATGTCCTTTGCATTGTGTGATGCTCTTTCTACCTAGCTGCTTCTATCTAGAATTTTATACAAGTATTTAGATTTTGTCATGATAACATTCCTACACATTCTTTTATACTTTGCCTCTTTATGCATAACAAAATGATTACTCTCTACCTTTTCCTGACCTCCCCTTACAGTTATCTGAGGTATCCTACAGCAAACTGAGTACCTTGAATAGGAGCTTAGAAGGTGTCACCGCCTCAACATTCCACCTAGACTTCCTGAAATGCTGGGATTAGTCAGCTCATCAAAATCTCTAGTTGTCCTCTCCCCCATCATTAAGGTACATCACATGCCTTTTACTTTATCCCTTTCCCTGAATATTAAATTCATAGGTTTCATTTTTAGTTTTTCCCTCAAATACTCTTACTAGTTTCTTATAATAATATTTTCCTTGTTACAGCTTTCTTCAGAAGTCACTGATGTTCTCAGCTTTCACTCCTTCATTTCTCACTTCTGTTTCTGATAATCTATTCCTTTATCATTTCTTAAAACCTCTCCACTTTTGAAGTCCATGCCATATTGCCTTCTGTGTGTGTGTGTGTGTGTGTGGTTCCTGGGGATGGAACTCAGGGCCTCATATGCGCTAGACAAGTGGGCTACATTCCCAGCCCTCATATGTCTCTTTACTGCTTTCCATCTTTGATTTAAAAACCATTAGGTTCACAGTTTCTCTCATCTAGCTCATCTAGCTCAGAGACATTATTTAAAAGTTCTTTTCCAATAAAACTTCTGTGTATATATCCTTATTTTTAATTTACTGATTCTAAACCAAGATCAATAATTCCCTTTAAAAATAAGCTATACTTCAAACTGCCATTTTTTGAAAAATTTTTGAAATGTTGTCAACCCTCAATTAAGGGCATGTTGATAGATAGGCCATTTAAAAACTGAATCATGTCTCTGTACACATGCTTCCTACAAGGTTCTGGGCACTGGATTCAATTTTTATTATCTTCCCCAATGTCATCAAATATATTTAACACACTTGGCAAGTAAGGTTACTTTAATCATATAAATTTTCTACATATATGGCAACATTCTCTAAACTACTTGAAAAGACACTGTTACCTCCATAAATTATTTAAGGGGGCTGGGGTTGTGGCTCAGTGGCAGAGTGCTTGCCTAGCATGTGTGAGGCACTGGGTTTGATTCTCAGCACCACATATCAATAAATAAAATAAAGGTCCATTGACAACTGAAAAATATTTAAAAAAAAGTATTTAAGGACAAACATTTTGTAAGAGTTCTGGCAACCAAATAAAGCAAGAATATCACTGATATTTAATATTTGTAGGAAACACATTTAGTTAAATAACAAATTTAATTTTAATACAAGTATCTTTTCCTTCATTTAATTTTAAACTTTATTGTTACCTCTCATCAGCTGAAGGTTCTTTCTGTTGCAAATGAGGCTTGGTTCCAAACATTGGGCGAATATTTGTTGATAAGGCTCTGACGGTATAAGTAATTTCATTCTCCCTTGTAACATCACTATCATAGCCTACCATCAAAATATAAAAGTTATTCTTTAAGTGATAACTGAGATCAATTGTGATCTTGTAATTTAAATATAATGATGTCCAATGTCAAGTAAATTGTGCCATAATCAAATTATGGAATATGCATCCAGCAAAAATTAAGTAGTAAAATATTTTAAATATAAATATATTTTTTAGTGCTTGGGATCAAACCCAGGGCCTCATGCAAGCTAGGCATAACATTCTACCACTTAGCCATATATCCCCAGCCACATAATGATGTTTTTTAAGTATCACTAAGAGATAATAGCAAGCTATAGGCCATGTGCAATGATGCATACCTATAATCCCAGCAACATGGGAGGCTAAGGCAGGAGGATCACAAATTTGAGGCTAGACTCTATAACTTATCAAGATCCTTAGTAATTCATCAGAGCCTGTCTCAATAAATAAAGCTGCTGGGGAGGCTGAGGCAGCAGGATTCCAAGTTCAAAGCCAGCCTCAGCAACTTATTGAGGTTCTAAGAAACTTAGTGCCACCCTATCTCTAAATAAAATTTAAAAAAAGGTCTGGGGATGTCTCAGTGGTTAAGAGCCCCTGAGTTCAATCCCTGGTATAAAAAAACCCCAAAATAATCAATAAAAATGGTTGGGGATGTAGGTTAATGTTAAAGTGAAGTGCCCTTGGGTTCAATCCCCAGTACCAAAAAAGAAAAAAAAAAAAAA